CCAGTGCTGGTTCACTTTCTGATGAAGGTGAATCTTCACATTCTCTCGCTGGTTCTACTTTTGGAGTTGCATCTTCAGAGTCCTTTTCCTATGAGGACACTGAGTTGGATGAGACGTGGGAGGAGGAGGATGCTCAGTGCCTTGCTGATCTTTTCCTGTCCTTGCAGGAAATGAAAAAGCACAGGTCAGAACTCATCCTACTTCGACCCTCTATCATGGGAGCCAAGATCAAAGGGCTCTTGGACTATGGGGCTACTCGCAACTTCATATCTCCCAAGGCAGTCAACAAGCTACACTTGGATCAGAGACTTGTGAAATTGCGATAACCCATAGAGGTTCGCATTGGTGACTCCTTCACAGTCAGGATGACTACTACTGTCAAGGGCCTACCAATGACTTTTGACAAGCAGGGAGAAATCAGGCACCGCCTGAATTTCTACGTGTTTCCTAATGTTCCCTTTGACCTTGTGTTCTCTATGCAGTGGCTGGGTGCCACCAATCCTAGGGTCGACTGGCGGATTCCTAGGGTTGAGCTACCTAACTGGCATGGGGTATATCGCCCTTGTTTGCTCGCTGATGAGTACCATCCGGCCAGTAGCTGTTATTGTATGTGTGCTCGTAGTTTCATGCGTCTGTCTCGCCAGACTGACCACACCCGTCTGTTCGTGGCTTTTGTCAAACAGACTGATGTGGAGACTGCTCCCTGTCCCTCTCAGATTCAGTAGGTTGTTGGCCAGTTCTCAGATCTTATGGAAGAGCCTACTGGACTTGTCCATAGGCAGACCAAACATAAAATTGAGATCTTGCTTGGTTCGGTCCCTCCCAAGGGCCGGGTCTACAGGATGTCCCCTGCTGAACTTGATGAGCTCAGGAAACAGTTGGAGACCTTGACCAGCAAAGGCTGGATCCAGCCCAACACATCTGAGTTTGGGGCACCAATCCTCCTTGTTCCAAAGGGGAATGGTGGATTCATAATATGCGTGGGCTATCGAGGTCTCAACAAAATCACGAGGAAGCCCACAGAGCCTCTTCCTCACGTTAAAGATATGTTGGATATGGTGCAGGGTTGTACTATTCTTAGCAAGATCGATCTCAAATCTGGTTATCACCAGATTGAGATGGTTGAAGGCGATGTCCACAAGACAACCTTCAAAACCAGGTACGACACATACGAGTACCTGGTCATGCCATTCGGTCTTTGCAATGCCCCAGGCACATTCCAAATAGAGATGCATCGCATACTCAGGCCTTACTTGGACAAGTTCGTAGTTGTCTACCTGGATGATATCCTGGTATTCAGTCGATCTATCCAGGAGCATGCACAACATCTAGCTCTGGTCCTCCAGACGTTATATGATAACCAATATAAGATTAACAGGGAGAAGTCCTCTTTTAGAGTTCCCTCTGTGGTCTATCTGGGTTATTTCATTTCTGGAGAGGGGTTAGCTCCTGAGGCAACGAAAGTTGCTGCAGTTCAGGACTGGCCGAGGTCTGTTAACATTCGTGATGTTCAGTCATTCTTGGGGCTTGCATCCTATTATAGGAAGTTCATCGAGAACTTCTCTTTTATCGTAGCTCCCTTGACTAATCTTACAAAGAAAGACACTCCTTTCTTTGGACATCAGAGTGTCAGGAGGCTTTCACACGTCTCAAGGAGGCCGTTATTCGTGCCCCTGTATTGAAGCTACCTGACCCTACTCTGCCTTTTGTGCTCACCACTGACGCTAGTAGTATGGTGTAGGGGTGGTACTTCAACAGGATGATGGGAATGGTCTGTAGCCTGTCGATACATGAGCAAGAAGATCAAAACAAAGAAGTTGCAGGACTCTACCTATAAGAAAGAGTTGTATGCTCTTGTATCAGCGGTCAAGCATTGGAAACACTTCCTCCTGGGTAGACACTTCAAGATCTTTTCAGATCACTCCACCCTTCAGTGGGTGAAGTCCCAGGGAGAATTGAATGACAAACTTGCTCGCTACATTCAGTTCATTGACATGTTTGACTCTGAACTGAAGCACAAGAAGGGCTGCTACAATCGAGTAGCAGACACCCTTTCTCGTAGGTCTGACGCTCTCTTTCTCATCTCCTTTACTCACTCCTTTGGAGAGAAGACACGTCAGACCATTGCCCCTTTGCTGCCCCAGGATGCGATTTCCGGGCCTATTGTGAGGAATTTCCAAGATGATTTTGCCTCTGAACTAGGATATACTCTGGTTCCAGATTTGCTGTATACATGCAACAGATGTGAGGAACGCCTATGTATTCCCTAGGACCGCAAGCTGAGGACACTTCTGTTGTCAAAGTGTCAATGATGCTCGTGGTCACTTTGGTGCCCTCAAATCGAATGCAGCCCTGTCGCAGCACTTCTTCTAGAAGGAGATGAGAAGTGATATGCTGCACTATGTGGAAACCTGTGAGTTATGCTAGAGGAATAAGGTGGTACGCCGACCTCCCCTCAGCCTACTCAAACCACTACCCATCCCTGTTGCTCCTGCACAGTCGATGTCTATTGACTTTACTGATCTGGGTAGGACTATACCTAGTGGTATGCGTCAGGTCATGGTATGTGTGGATCGGTTCTCCAAATATGCCGAGTTCATCCCCTTACCAGCTGAAGTCTGTGTGCATGCCGTTCAGGCAGCTTTTGCTGACAGGTGGGTCACACATCATGGACCACCCACCTCCATTGTTAGTGATCGAGATCCGTGCTTTTGCAGCAATGAATGGCAATCCTACTGCAGGGATTACCTTCATTCTAGACTGGATATGACATCTGGTCGTCATCCTGAAACCAATGGCCAGGCTGAAGTGATGAACCAGATTCTATTTCAGTTGCTGCGTCCCGTGATCAGTCCAGATCAGCAGGACTCGGATCTCCATTTGGGTCGTGCACAACTTGTGTACAAAACTTATGTACACTCCTCCACGGGATTTACACCCTACCGGTTGCATTGGGGTCGTGAGCCACGACAGCCTCTCGATGACATCATCGATAAGGCTACCCCTAGGTTGACACCTGGAACTGCAGAGTTCACCAGGCGTTACCGTGTGGACATAGAACTCACCCGTGCCAACCTGCTGAAAGCTCAAAAGGCCATGATTCAGCAGGCTAACAGGCACAGACGTCCTTCTACTATTCGCACAGGTGACTGGGTGTGGGTACTCAGTTCTGAGTTGTCACGAGAGGAGGAAATTTCGCCTAAGCTGTTGCCACGATGTATGGGTCCATGGCAGGTCTTAGATATAGTGGGAGCTGATCCATTTGGACCATCCTCTACAGTGGATGTCCCTCTGCATCTACAAACCTACCCTGTCTTTCATGCATCTAAGCTGTTACCATTCACATCAGCTGATGCATTTCCAGACATGCCTCCGCAGTTTGGTCCTCCGATCCCTGGAAAGGGATATGACGTGGAGTCCATTGAGGATGAGTCAGGTACAGGACCAGATAAGGAACACCTTGTGAAGTTTTGCTACCAGCCACATACTGAAGACCGTTGGTTTACTCGCAAGGAACTTCTGAAAACGGCTAAGTCTGTTTTCCTCAGATATGAGGCAGCACAGAAGGGGGAACCCCTTCGACATTCTGCACGCCTACGCCCCTAGCTCGGAGGCCCTCACTCCGGGGGAGGGTAGGTCTGCAATGACTTGCTGGTTTCTGGTCGTCTGTAGCATCTCTCTTGTCGAGGCTGTACTATCTGTAGGTTAGATTCGTTATTTTGTTTGGCTGAGGGCTAACCGAGAGACCTGCTTGTAAGGAAAATTCGTGAGGGACATATCTGTAAATTGGGGAGAATACAGGCCCGTACTAACTGAATTTCCTACAGCTACCTTAACTGCGAGTAGCAGACCCAGGCTACCCCTAGGACAGAGAGGCCCTAAGGGCCTAAGCTGATAGACGGTCCTATAGCCTATAGCCGGGGTTGGGAGAGGCCCGAGAGGCCGAAACAGAAACGGTACCGGTCGGTCAGTCAGTCCGGTTTAGGTCGAGTCTAGGCTAGGGTAGACTATACATAGGTTAGCCACATCGGTTCAGGGCTTTTGGCAGTTGGTACCGAGTACATCGCTGCTGTGCTATGCGTGAACTGGAAGTGGTGACGGCTCAGCGTGGAAGGAGACAGACATAGCCAGACCTTCGAAGCGCCGGCCATAGCTGGGACCTGCACTGTACTCTGTCAGCACGCGGGGCTGAACAGAGGTCTGGGCTATTGAGGTCTGCTGGAGGCGAGAGAAGTTGGTGCCCTGCCGGACCCTCCTCTGGAGTAGGGTTATAGGGTGTGGCGCTGCAGCCATAGCAGCAGCTTCTTCCTCAGCGGTCATCTTGTCAGGAGTGGTGGCGCTGCTGCAGACTTCCACCCGGGAAGTCTTCCGACACTTCGTCATCATCAGATACTGTGGCGCTGGTCTTCTTCTTCACCCTCTGAGTGGCACTTGGCCTCAGAGGCCTGTTTCAGGGTGGCGCTGTCCTCTGGAGGCAGTACTTGGGTGGCGCTCGATGTTTCAGGGAGTCAGGGGTGTTACGAGTGGTTACTCAGGGTCGGGGAGTGAAGCGCTGCTCATTTTGAGCAGCGCACTGTAGGTCTGAGGTTATTCTGACAATTCGAGACTCTGAGTGTGATAAACATTGTGATACTGGGTTCAGACTATCATGTTTCATTGTTTTCATGGATGTGATCTACTTGGCTTTCCTTTATGACTGGTTGTGAGGATTGAGTGGAGTAAATTGCACTTTCAGTGTACCCTGTCATATCGCATGGTCAAGTCTTCCGCTGTGTTTATCTCTCCCTGTGCGGTGTGATACTCCTATCATCTCCGCTTCCTTCTGTGTATGTATGGGCATACCTAGGAGTCTATGTGAGTGAGTGTTGGTCTTCAGACAACAGAACCAGAATCATAACATCTTGATGATGTCTGTTGACTTTGTTCACTTGTTCTCTCCTGCTTCTATATAATTCATTGGTGATTTGTCCATTGCTTTTGTGCACATCATATGCTTGCAGGCAGAGCCCCCAGTTTGATCGGTGCAAAAGTCGAGAACTCCCTTTTGTTGAGTCCTTAAGGGGTTCTTGCTTCAGACCTTTTTCTGCTACCTTTGAGGCCGGCAGCACTCCGTCTCTGAGAAAAGTTAATGATGATTGGTCATTTCTTTCCAAGAGCCATTCCTCCCAGGGCCTTTATATCGCTCGACCTACGTTACGGACAACAAGGGACAGACTTTTCTGTACGACTACGGCTTCTGCTACTCTGGGTCAAGGCGCAGCTGCTGTCGGATCAGTTATGGATGAACAACCTGCCGAGAAGAAGGGCGCAGAGTCATCAACAGTTGTAGAACGAAAGTACGATATGCTGTGATGGATCTTCTGTGTCTTTTCCAATTGCCTTTGCTTTTCCTTTCTTCTATTCCTTTTTTCCTTCCCCACCCCTCTTCTTCTTCTTCTTAA